TGGACTGAGGTTTTGCCCTCCCTCTCTAGGGATGTTGGTGGTGGGTGGACACTTCTCTTGCCATGGTATTGTCCTGCCTTTTTTTTTTTTTAACCTGGTTTCTGTTCCTCAGTCTTTGGCTTGCCCCTGTTATTTGCCACAGGGCCTCATGGTTCACAGATGTTGTGTGATTGTAAGGAGGTGAATTTGGCATAGCAGAGACATTCACTGCGTGTTTATGGAGAGATTTGGTTAACTCACAACCCCCAAGTGTGTGCAGTTCTTCAGAATATGAATGACAAAAATAACATTCTATTACACTTAGTATTAATGCTGGGGTGGAGAGTGTTATTTGGAATCTCAGATGACATTTCTAAAATATCAGTGTGAACTGCATTGTTGTGGTAATTTAGCACTTGCCAACATAGGAATGATCCTTGCTATCGGGAAAATAGAAGTTGCCTCATGGCAAGTACAGTTTTACCAGTCCTTATGAGAGACATAATTCCGTGTTTCAGTGGGAGGAATTTATGGAAGAGTTTTATTTTTAAGAATGAAGACAGATATTTCAAAATAATATATATATGAATCATTGAAACCGCTGAAGGGGATTTAAGTTGAGAGTTCCAGTAGGTCTCTAGTTTAGCTCTTAGTTTTGCCAATATGGTTATCTAAGAGATTATAAATTAAATGTGATGCCCAGATTTATCTCTCTTGAATATCAAATGTAGAGAGTAAAGTTCCTGTATCATCTAAGTGCATGAAACTGTTGTGTAAATATTGAATGAGCTACCAAGGGTATATGAATATTTTCAAAACACTGGATTGCAGATGAGATTACCATAGATTTTTCTGGATGTTGTAATCAGGATGGGTTTGACTTGCTAAATATGAGGTATTTCTAGGATAGGATGCATAATCTCATCAAGCTAAGAAAATATGTTGAAAGTTTAATTTAAAGGGGAGGAAAAAAAAAAGGAAATCACTTTGAAACCATGGCTTATTTGACCTCTTATTGATATTCCCCAAAATGTTGATACTCACCAGTGACCAGAAGTTGCACATTTAATTCAGATTAGCTCAGTCCTGAGAGGAGCTGTTAATGGAGTTTCCAGAGTTCCTGACAAGAGAGGGAGAGAGAGGAGAAGAAGAGAGAGAGAGAGAGAT